AAACCGAATTGCAAAAAGTCAAACAATCATACAGAAAGCTTAATGACAGTTCCAAAAATAAAATAACATTTTCTTTGGCTGTATATTATCAAATAAGTATGTTTTCCTATAAGCACATCCACTACATGTACTTTCCATGTTCCTCCCAATCGCTACTCACTCCCTTCGTTTTAATTCTTTCTGTCCTTTCTATTTTATTTAGATATATTGTATGTTTGCTGGTCAATTTTATTTTTTTCCTTTTGAAAGTGTTTGAAGAAATGCACATAGAACACTCTTTCAATTGATTTGTCAATAAACAATTCAAAAAGGCTACTGCGAACTGAATATCTAAAATGTTAATGATTTTGTGGAATTGTCTATATATCGTATGGTTCTCTGTAAGACTTATTTTTGTTCACTTCTAAAACCAGACAAACAGTTGCAAGCTTACTTGATAGGGATGATGATTGGAATGGTTTAGAAGGTTAATCAATTAAATGCATGCTGATTGGATATTCAAAATGATTCACATAGCTTATGAAATCTGTTTTCCTCATTAAAATCGATGCGAACACGAGTATGCATCAAACAAATATTTCTAACCCTAACCCAAAAAGGTTTGATACAATTAGCAATCTTTCAATTGAAAATGTTTATCCTATCCTCCAAGACTATACACAGTGGAAACAAATAGCGCTTATCCCCAATAAAAAACTAACCAATTAAAAAAAGAAAATGAACAGTCGTATAACATGTATTATTCAATTCCCTTTAAATAATTCGTCAGTTTTGATGAACCATTTAACTTGAAAAGGAATGTTTTTTTATGTAAACAATAAAAATTATCAGATAACAGGAGCAAAAATGGTTGTTGTGAAAGTGTAAAATTCTAAACATATCTATTAGCAAGCGTAAGCGAAAAAGCGCTTGTTCTGCCCTTCGTAAAAAGAAAACAAAACGTAAATTAGTTTTATAAATGGTTTTGTCCGATCACCACGCAAAAATGGAGCACGGTAAAATAAATTAGCGTTCAAATTATTTTGAGATCATCCCTATAGCTTACCTGTATGGTTTGCAGTCTTACTCGTACTCGGACTCCGAGTCCGACAGTTAATGTAAATCTCTAGTAGCCAGACATATATGTACCGATTATCAGGTTGTCTGAATATTGATATTGTAAAATATCAGCTGCGAGTCACAATAAGAAGTTTTTTGTTTAGTGAGGCTTCATATTGTGTCGAGCAGCTGATATTTTCAATATAAATATGCAGACAACCTGATCATCGAATTATCGGATTGTATTTGTGTATTTGCATGATAGAAGCAAGTATTTTTCTTTGTTTCAAGAGCAAACCAGCAGATGACGTGATAAGTTCGGGTCAAACTTATCAACGTCTGTTCATTCATTTTGACGTCGATGATATGTTCTGATCAAAGTTATTTAATAGGCCAGGTCAACGTAATTGACGTCACAAGGCCGTGCTATGCAATTACATGAAGAACTGAACAGAATGATACAGACAGTGAGAATACCGATAAGGAAGAACATCTACTTCAAACAAAAAAATGCCAACTATTTCTATGCAGAGGCCTATAGTTCAGTGGTTGTGGTTGGTCGCTGCATTCATATTTGTTTTTCGTTTCCGTTTATTGTTTTGAACATCAATCAGATCGTTGTTTTTTTTTTTAATTTAAATTGTTTTACTTGTGGTCTTTTGATAGCTGACTATATACGGTACGTATGGTTTTGTACATTGTTTAAGGCGGTATGGTGACCTATAGCTGCTTACTTCTTAGTCTTTTGACTGGGCCTCGATTGCCGAGTGGTCAAAGTAGTCGGACTGCTGGAATACTAGCCAGTCAACACTGAGGTTGTGAGTTCGAATCTCCAATCTTAATTGACTAGGATTGCGAGTTTTCCTACCAAAGGTCGGTTGTTCTCTCCGGGCACTCCGGCTTCCTCCAATAATACAAACTTACCGAAATAATAATAGTTCTGAAAGTGATGTCAAACACCAAGCATTCAATCAATCTACGTTATTTGGTCTCTGTTGAATAATTGTCTCATTAGAATTCATACCACATCTTGTTATGTTTTTATTGTGTATATGATATAACTACAACAGTTCCCTAGTTGAGTGACTACACAAGGGTGATGAATTCTTCAACATTTTGAGAATCAGCAAACACAAAGCTGATTTCCCATCTAAAATTGCCACTAACACCACGTTACAACAAAATTTGACATGTATCAATAGAACGAAGTAATAAAAGAAGTAGAGTACCACTTGAATCATCGGAAATAAATAAACAAAGCAAGCTGTCCTACAAAATGCCACGCTAATCACATCACAGTCGCACGCTGAGAGAAGTAAGTCACACCATAAATGCATTATGAGAGAAGTAATGCCACGTCAAAAGAGCGATTTCAGCGAAGTAATGTCACATCCCAAGAGTAAGATAAAAGGAGTAATGTCACTTCACAAGAGTAAATTACATGATATTTTCAAGGCGCGTGTCACAATCTCGTTCTTCAGCCCACTCTATGAATATTACCGTATAACTACAGCTTTTTGCCACCATAGGCTGTTCCCGCGTATCGATAAAACTGAAGATCATAAACGGCATTTTCTGAAAATTAGATATATTAACAGAGGTATTGATTTGATCAACGTATCGAGTATATTTAATGACTCTTCCATTCAAACTTTATACCTCCCTATTTTGATAACACAGAACCACCTATTATTTCGTATACATACAAAAAAAAAGCCAGCAGAAGTTTAATGTTTAGTTATACATCAGTAACATCAGACGTCAATGTAGAAAATAATACTCCTCTAACTTGAGACTGTGAATCGTCGAATTTTCGATATGATCCCTATGACCATGTTATTACGGGGGACCTCAATATCGTTAAAGGTTAAAAACTTTTTGAGAAAAAGACCAAAATATCGGCCTCCTTCTAAAATAGATTGGAAACAGTGTCGTCAGGTCACAAAAGACGCTCTTTCATCGTATTGTAAAAATTGGTGTAAACGGGAAAAATCTGATAAAAATCCTCTTGATTCTTATCTAAATAAATGTATGAATGTTGTAGACATTCGTATATCACATTTGAAAATAATTCAGATATAAATAAAAGAGTACATAATACGCCTATTTGTAGAATAAGAAACAAACGTTAAGTACTTTCAAAGCGGTTTGTGTTTGTACCAGCCGACAAAGAAGCCAACAATGTGGTGGTCGTAAATACTACACGGACGTTCTTAAGAAAGAAATTTTAAATTCTTCTACATTCAAGTCTGTGCCCTTCACAGAGAGTCATATAGTAAACAATCATATCATAACCACATCACAGCTTAAGGCCTCTTATGAACATTTGAAGGTCCCAACTATGTATTGGTTACCTAAACTACACAAAAAACCAGTAAAAAGTAAAAGAACAAAAATACAGAATTTCAAGGGAAATTCAAAACGGAAAGTCCTTTATAAAATGGCAAAATCAAAAGCTCAAACACATCTTACGAATGGAAAACAACTGTCATATTCCTGACTTGGTACAGGCATTTCCTTATGTAGAAAATGGTGGATTAAACCTGGTTTTATAGCTAGCTAAGCCTCTCACTTGTTTGACAGTCGCGTTGAATTCCATTATATTTAATAACTGTCCTTTCCTAGATTTAGATATTTCAGTTTTACACGGAAAACTCTACACTAAAATTTACATACTAGGGACGATTTTTCATTCCCTATTGTTAATTTTCCTTTTTTGGACGGTGATGTTCCTTTGGCAACATCTTACGGTGTTTTTATATCACAACTCGTTCTCAATGCCCATGTCTGTTGTAACGTTTTGGATTTCAATGAACTTAATCTATGTATTGCTATGTATTACTGGTAAATTATTAAGTCAGGGATTAAGTTACCACAAATTACTTAAAACGTTTACTGAATTCTTCCATAGATATAAAGATTTGGTTTTGATGTTTGATTGTACCTGTAGAAAACTTATTTCAAGCGGGAAAGCACATCCTTATTTTTACGGAGATGTTGTTTACCGAGCCCGGAAATTTAGAAACGATCAGGGTAAACTTATAGATCCTTTAAATAAACTTATTCTAAAAGGTTACCAATTCAACACTGTAATTAGATCTTTGAATATAAATTAAAATCACACTTAATATTATTTTTATGTACATATGCACATTCATGGCTCTACAATCTTTCAATACCTGTATCTTGGCATTGCACAAGGTCGTGTTTTTCTCTGAATGTTAATGACGTCTCTACACTAAATCCATTGGATGTTGGATGTGTACTGATTGATATTTTACTCTTAGATGCATGATTTTTTTATTAGTTGTTATTGGCTTTGAACTAGCCGTCAGTAACTAGAGTACTCTCAGATCTGTACTTAGTGTCTTTTTGTTGTGGAGATGTATAAGTACTCTGCCACTTCCACTGTGGTTTTGTCAGATGTATTTATATTTGTATCCAACTGATGAGTTAAGTCTTTTTCAACGGATTTTTATAGTTTGTTCTTATGTTGTACTGTTACACCATTTTCCCAGGTAAGGGGGAGGGTTAGTGCCTTCAAACTTGTTTAACCCCGCCACACTATATATGTGCCTGGCCAAATTCAGGAGCCTGTTATTCAGTGGTTGTCGTTTGTTGCTGTGTAACATATTTGTTTTTCGTTCATTATTTTGTACATTAATTATGCCGTTAGTTTTCTCGTTTGAATTGTTTTACATTTGTCATTTCGGGGTCTTTTATATCTGACTATGCGGTATGGGCTTGCTCATTGTTAAAGGCCGTACGGTGACCTATAGTTGTTTATTTCTGTGTCATTTGGTCTCTTGTGGAGAGTAGTCTCATTGGCAATCATACCACATCTTCTTTTTTTTATATAACATAAGAGAAGTAATGTCATATCATAAGAGCAATATGAAAGAGTTGTGTCATGTCAAAGTGACACCACCAATACAACCACCACAACTACAACTACAACCCTCATGAGTACCACCATCACCACTACAGAAACTTTCACCACTACTTCAACTACCACCACTTCTGCCACTAGCGCCACTACATCCAACACCACCCCTACTACTACCATCACCATAACAACCACCCCCACTACTACTACCATCACCATAACAACCACCCCCACTACTACTACCATCACCATAACAACCACCCCTACTACTACCATCACCATAACAACCACCCCCACTACTACTACCATCACTACCACTTCTTCAACTACCACCCCACTACTGTTATTGCTACAACCAACACCTCAACTGATATCACCACAATTGATACAACTACCACGACCGCTAAGACCAACACCTCTACTACAACCACTACCGCGACCACTAAAACTACCAACACCTCTGCTACAACCACTACCGCGACCACTAAAACTACCAACACCTCTACTACAACCACTACCGCGACCACTAAAACTACCAACACCACTGCTACAACCACTACTGCGACCACTAAAACTACCAACACCACTGCAACAACCACTACAGCGACCACTAAAACTACCAATACCACTGCTTCAACCACTACTGCGACCACTAAAACAACCAATACCACTGCTACAACCATTACTGCGACCACTAAAACAACCAATACCACTGCTACAACCAATACCGCGACCACTAAAACTACCAATACCACTGCTACAACCATTACCGCGACCACTAAAACTACCAATACCACTGCTACATCCATTATCGCGAACACAAAAAACTACCAATACCATTGCTACAACCACTACCACGACCACTAAAACTACCAACACCTCTACTACAACCACTACCGCAACCACTAAAACTACCAATACCACTGCTACAAACACTACCGCGACCACTAAAACTACCAATACCACTGCTACAACCACTATTAAGACTACTAAAACCACCAATACTACTGCTACAACCACTACCGCGACCACTACTACTACCAACACCTCTACAACAACCACTACCGCAACCACTAAAACTACCAATACCACTGCTACAACCACTACCGCGACCACTAAAACTACCAATACCACTGCTACAACCACTATTAAGACTACTAAAACCATCAATACTACTGCTACAACCACTACCGCGACCACTACTACTACCAACACCTCTACTACAACCACTACCGCGATCACTAAAACTACCAACACCACTGCTACAACCACTACAGCGACCACTAAAACTACCAATAACACTACCGCGACCACTAAAACTACCAATACAACTACCGCGACCACCACCGCGATTACTACTGCGACCACCAATTTATCAATACCACTTCTACAACCACTATTGCGACCACTAAAACTATCAATACCACTACCGCGACCACTAAAACTACCAATACCAATGCTACAACCACCACCACTAATAACAGTGACGTTAGTAGACCCATTAGGATACATATCACTTAAGCAGTTTCTTTATATCCAACAAAAACATCAAAGAAACCTATTCAAACATTGATGATTTTAATCATTTCTTTAGATGTCTAGATTAATTCATTTTTGTGGTTTTGTGACCAGAAGTGTAATTTGTTTGTACACCAGTAGCGGTTGTCGTAGACTATTGTCATGTAGTGTCATATTATCTAGCCTGGTACCAGACAACTAGAACACAATACTTGAAAGAAATGCGCGTCTTATGTTGCAATTCTTTTAATTCTACAGCGGTGAAAAATTGTTCCTTTGCTTTGGCATGTACGTATATATTTTGAGTGTATATGGATTTAATATGAATGATCATGAAAAAAGTTTATACTACAACTGTGTTATTTGCGCAGTCAATTTGAGTTGGCGGTATATTCATTTGAGATATAGCCTTTTTTATTACCTTCATAATTCCTTATTTATGACGTCAATAAAAAATACGGGTTCGCGGAATGTTTACAACATCTTGTTAAAATTATAAATGCTCGGCAAAACCTACGATTCTAACTGTTTCTAATTTTGTATAAATAACATTTATATTTCGAGCCTTGGCATGGTTATTCCATATTTATGTTAAACGGCTTAATGTACCAACCATATGTATTTGTATGTATCAACATGTTTAAGTAAAAAGCGATATTAACGTTTTAGATTTAGGTCCTGGATCATACAATTATATGACCTTTGACATTATAACAATTAGAATTAATTCAATAACTTCAAAATGTTCAAGGGACAGTTCTCAAAGAAGCATATACGGAATATTCGTATAACTCGTGTCAAATCATAAATTCATGCATGTGTCCCATAGCATTTTCCGTCAGCCTGTGCTTACGTTTATTAACAGTTTCAGTTTTGGATAATTGGGACGAAAAAAATACAATAAATCTTTAATATAGTGACAGAATTATGTATAAGAAAATGTTTTGTCTTCCGAATGGTACCGAGTTTCTGAGTTGAATCGAAGCAAAATACATACATAAAACAAAGAATTACATATATATGTACGGTACACATTTAAACTAACATTGGGAGTAGAAATCATAAACTGAATCGTCTGTTGCTTCAGATACACGAGCTTGTAACAATTCGCACATCTTGCTGGGCTCTTTAAAGTTGAAATTGATACATTCAGGTTCAAGGTGGCATCTTAAAGCGCATTCAACAACATAGTGCCCGACAATATTACTTAGCAGGACAGGTGCACCTCGTTTTCCGAAGGCTTTTGTGTATTTCACGGTGTTTCCTGAAAAAAATGTAAAGTTGTGTCAATACAAAAACAACTCGATTAAATTCCCAACAGTTCATACAATCACTAACAGCATATTATGAGTTAGTTCTTAGTGCACATCAATGTACAACTACTAGAAACGATATTTCGCCGGTCGCATGCACAGTATAGACTTCAAAAGTATTATCATTATCTAAATCTAAAATACCTTAAATAATAAATTAACATTACCGGTAGGGAAACTCTGCTTGTGGACTGTTTGTCCCCGGTGGTATCACAACCTAAGTAGCTCGGTACTTCGGTATCAGCATGACATTTGCTATTATAACAAATTTGAAAATCATTTTAAATCAGAAATGTATCTCCCCCATGCATGATAGTCCATTCCTTTAATGCATTAATCTATTCGTTTAGATCATTTGGGGTTTTATCAGCTACTTAACATTTGTATTAGGTTTCTGAACTTGAATAACTGTTTGCGTCCATCATCACTCACAAGACCTTTAACGAAAACGGAGTCGGCCGAGTTTACACGAGTGATATAGAGCTAGCTTGATAATACGTGTTATTACATAGCAACATAAACAGCCAGATGTGTGACAAATTGTTAAGAAAAAACCACCCATTCATTGCACTCAAGTCTACTCTTTTATTAAAATTATGATCATATTGTACTTCTCACAGGGGTATGTACTTCAATGAGAAACATGACGGGTGCCACACGTGGAGCAGAACCTGCTTACCTTTTCGGAGTACCGTTGTGTTGTGTTTTGTATACTGTTGTTTGTCTTTGTATCGTTATTCTTTATTGTCAGTTCATTTTCGACTTATGAGTTTGAATATCCCTTTGGAATCTTTCACCTGATTTTCTTATATTTTGATTTGTAAAACAAACACTCGTATGATGTTTTCGACATTCCTAAATATTTTTGTGTTGATATTTGTAGGACGCCTCTAATGTTGTTTGAACTTGTGTCTCATCCGTTTTGTTATCCTTGCAAATTATATTTGTTTAAACTAAACTAAGAAATAGTTGAAAACTTCAGAACCGAACAACACCTTTTATATGTACCTGTAGGATAATGAATAATACAACTGCCTTCTTTGTTACTATTTAGGATAAGTCCAGTAATATGTAATGGCTCTGGATCAGGCCAGACTATAAATCTACTAATAGTGTTATGAACGTTCAATCCACGACCGACCTCAATAATGCCGTCTCTCCAACTTATCCAGAATGGCCGATATTCAGAACTTTCCAACAGGTTATCTAAATATCAACATATTTTCTTACATTCCAAGATCACATTTAAGTATATAATATGACTATTTGTCGCGAAAAACGTCGACCATTTAAAAAATTAATATGCGGTAATTTACGAGTGTTGTTGTCTTCAAATCGAATATGACTATTTATTGAGTCAAAGGAGTACTTGCGCTTGGCAACGAACATTGATTATTTGTTTTGCTATTGACATTAAATGTTTATTTTTTATATAAAAAGTTTTAAAAAAATTCATTTGTTCCAAGAAACATGTCATGTCTAATCTCTTCCCCTAACCCTAGCCCTTTACCCTTAATCGTTATCCCTAACCCTTTTCCTAACCATAACACTAACGCTAGGATTGGCGAATAGACGATCAGGTATCAAAAATATCATATTTTGTTGGTGTATTTTTTTTTTTAACAAAATGTTCTTTAACGTAGGAATTAAATTCTTTTAAACTGTATTATATATATATATATATTATCCCGGCGAGGGAAGAACAAAAAATTAGCGAAAGCAAATTTACAGATCTAACATTGTTGGGCTGATGTTTAGACGAGTTGTATATACAGAATGTACACAGCCATGTATCACCATCACTGCTGGTGATCCGATGGATTAATCTGTTGTAGAGTTGTCACTGGTTCAGACGTACTTATATATATTATATATATATATATATATATATATATATATAACGTCCACTTAAATCGTGTATACACCAATTAATAATGTATGGTAAACCGATTAAAGATATGTTGTCTATTTAACCGTAATTCTGTATACTGGTATTTGTTAATTGGTCAGCATTTACAATCGTTCACTCTAATCAAAAGAACGTAATAAATCACCTAAAATGTTTCATTAACAGTTAAAACACATTAATTGACTATTATTGACTGTTTATCTGTCGAATTTCAATGGTTTTCGTAGGGTTCTCCAGATTCCTCAACCAATATAAACTGACCGCCACGATATAGGCAAGAGTGCTGAAAATGCATCTCAGACCAACAATCAAATAATCATCGATCTTTTGTGTTTAGTTTTCTGTGTTGAGTAAGCTTGTTATAAATCGTCGATTAAACGATATAAACAATGTGTGTACATTGTGGGAAAATATAAAATATATCTGTACGAGCTTTAGAAACAGAACAAAAGGCGAGGTTTCGTAATGAGTACAATTCAATTTGGTAATTTCCGACAATGTTCATTCCATACATTGTTTTTACCCTGCAATTGAATTCTGGTACGTGTTATGTTTTCAAATCCTAAATCGTTCTCTTTGATTATATTAGAAATCGGTATGTCTTAAGGTCACGTTACGGTAAATGGCATGTGTCACAGATTTTGTTAAAGTCATATGATACTTCAAATTTAACCCCAAAAAATATGAATATGTTGTATACACAATTAAAAACGTGTACAGATACTTTCGTTTATAAAAGAAATTCTTTTCTTTTATTCAAATCTCCAAAACTGTACTGCTATTAAATTTTTGTCTTCTCGCACTCCTAATTTTCCGACATTCTTTAGTATGCAGTGACCTTGACAATGACACCTTTCGTTAGACATTCGGCAACCCCACAGTGCCAATTTGTGTGACTGTCGAAAAACTGTGATAAACAAAAATTGTAAACAAACGTGTGTAAAAGACAGTCTAAGTATGAATCGATTCTGAAATTATCAAAAGATAACGATTGGTAAACCTCGACACCGAACAACCAAAAGTTAGTTAGCAACCAAGTTTTCCATCAACAGTCACAGCATGAAATATTTTGATTTATCGATTATACATCATGAAATCCGTAATACATGTAAAAGACGTGCACATAGGACTTAGTAATGTATTTTATTGGTTAAATCATTTCCTTAACATAGTAATTACTAGAAACTCGTTTCATATGACTTTGAAATTTTGAATACAACTTTGGCACGTTGAACTATAACCGATAATTAAAAACAATGCATTATATCTTTTATTTTCGTGCATTTAATTGAATTATTTCTTTTCAAAACAGATATACATTTTGTATAGAAAGCAAATACAATCGACGAAAAGCGTTCTTGAATTTGTCTCAAAAAACCAACTACCAATTCACAGATTTTTCTTTAAAAGAGGTATACATGACTTGATATATAGATTCACCCACTGCAACAAGTGTGTTACGATATTTCTCCACTTTAGACATTTAAATTTTAATATTTAAAGCGCGAGGCTTGCCGAGCTTTTTAAATAATTAAAATTTAACTGTTGAGAGTGGAGAAATATCGTAATACACGAGTTATAGTGGTGGAATCTGTTTCTCTAATGATTTTTATCCTTCCTTTTAAAAAAATTGCAGAAAGTTGTGTTCTTTATATGTGATGTCATCAAGCATGGTCGCCTTTTTTCAGGACGACACAATAGGAAATTCAGAAAAAAGAAAAATAGTTGACGTCATAATTAAATTTCGAACAATCTTTTACCGGGAACAGTTGTGTCACTAGTGAGGAGAACAATTGTTTCACAATCGGTCGGGAAATGTGAAAATAGTGAAAAAAATAGAAAACATACATTTCCATTTGAATGAACAGATGTAAGATAATAATGGGAACGCCGACTTCGTTTTTTTCGGTATGCTTCTTTACCTATTTCATATTGGGAATTCCATCTTTTTAATCTGGGGATTTCAATTTCTTTTACCAATTTCAGACTTTTAAAAATTTGTGTATAAGCCTGTCCTAATCTATAACTCCTATAAAAAAGGATATGTCATGTTATACTCATTTGTGACTCCTGTTTTACTATTTCTGGTGCGAGGGTAGCAGTTATCTTATTACATTTGTTTTTAAAACAATTCAAATCATTCTATTGCTGACTATCGATTTCCGGAATATTTGGCAGTTAAAAATCAAAAGTAGTATTGGCATGCGGATTTAGTCTAAAGAACATATCTCTCTCTCTACGACATCGCTGTAATGACCTAATTGCATTGGCAACATTAGGTCAATACGTACCGGACGTTCAGAGAATATGAGACAGAACCACCGAAATACGGCAGGTGCACGCTGACTTATTCTCCGAAGGCACAATTTAAGTATGGTGTACATTTACTGATACCCCTTATATTCATCCGCTGTTGGAGAACATGTGCCTTTAGGGAATAAGTCAGCGAAACGAACCTTCTCGTGCGACTGGGATTCCAACACACAACACCAGTGGTGACAAACTAGTGATCACTGTAGATGACATACCCGGACCACTTACAAGATGAATAACAAAAATTAAACACATATGGTTCTTTAAGTATATTTATGAAAATAGGGAGATGTGGTATGGTTACCAAAGGGAAAACTATCCACCATAGACCAAAGGACGAGGATATCAATAACTATGGGTCAGCGTCCGTCCTTTAGCAATTAACAAAACCCATTGCATATAGTAAGATATTAAAGGCAATGAATTGATTTAAAAGAGAAAACCAACGGCCTGATTCAACAAATGAAAAACAAATAAGCTAGACACTGAGCAATGACAACCATCAAATGTCTTGGGACAGTGGCGGTTTATTGTTTATTTTGAATTATCTTATGAATTTTGTCTCTTATACATTCACCTAGTTATATTTCATAACATAAACAATATGCGTATCTTGTACTGTTATTTCTGAATATAAGTATTTTAGGATTAAATATAACACCTGATCCTATGAAAATAAAATATACATGCCTATATACTCCCATTCCACATAATTGTCATCACTTACTATCCCTCGTCGGATATCACAACGTGTATTAGCGTTAGCCCCTATACCTATCTGGTATCCAGGTCCGGTGATTCCAATATCCGTAATCAAGCTTATCCATACATTGTCGGAGGCCATAGCCTGGAACTGGAATGACTCGTCCGTAGGCTTAATACAATAATCTGATAAATCAATTCTTTCATATCCTTCTGGAGTTGTTATGTTAATATGTTTTACTATTGTCGATGCTGTAAAGTAATCAATGTTAGTTGATACAAACTGAAAATTAAATAGAGGCATATGTAATACATCATTCTTTCACACAGATAATATGTTAGAACTGTGCTGACGACGACGATTTAAGCAACTATATAGGTCACCGTTCTTTGTTTGTTTTTTGTTTTGTTTTATTTTGTTGTATTTTTGTTGTTCTACATGATTTTGATTTTGCCATTTGATAAGGGACTTTCTTTCCTTGGAGTCGGTATTTTGTTATTTTACCTTTTACATAAATATCGAAATATAAATATATTTACCATGTTTACCATTCAGAACATGAAGTATAGGAATCCAGAACGTATGACACAGGATATTCATATTGTCCTTCATAATTTTCAGTCTATGGCTGGCCTTGCAAATTAAAGTGAAAACGAAGAATTCCTAAATAACTACATATTAATCAATCTGGAATCTTATTAAAATTTGCATTCAATCACATTCACATTTACATTTAGAAAAATCCAAAACAAGATATTTCACAATATATAGTAAATCATGGGAAAAAACATTAACGTTTCAGTTGGAATATATCATGATTGTTTGTTTATTACAATAACACAACATATATAATCTTGACGTTGCCTCGTTGGCCTAATGGTCTAATTCGTTCAATTACTGTACCACTAGCCTGTCAACACTGAGGTTGTGAATTCTAACCACCAACAATTTGATTTTGTTCTGATTATTATTCTTATTCTGTTTTTCTTTCGAGGTGTTTTTGTTTTTCAATATGTCGCTTAAATGTTTAGTTTATGATATCAAACAGTTTATACGCTTTTGAAACTGACACTGTTTAACACTTTCAGAGTTATCTCCCGAATACTGTTTTACTTATTATCTCTACTTCTTTGCAGCCGTAAAAAGAAATCGAAAAATTCTATATTTTTATAATCCTATATAATTATATATTCAGGATTTTTTTTTAAATATTGACCGAGGCGATACAGATAACCCATATAAGAGTTATTCTCCCTTTTGTATTTGATATAAGTGAAATGTATTTGTAACTGGCAAACCATAAGTGATAAAGACTTTAGATCTTTTGAATTGAGATCCTTGATCCACAAAAAGAAAATGATATCATGGTCAATGATCAAGGTCATGTCCTAGATTTTGATTTTGGATTATCGCTTCTCCTCAGAAACCGTATAGGAAATTGACAAAATGTTTTTACTAAACCGTTAGTTGCGACAATTCGAAACATATATATTTTTGTTAAAAGTGTGCGTTGACATTTAATGGGAATTTTCTCCGCTCTAATGTATAAAACTAGCTGTTTTGTGATATAACTCAATAACCATCTATAGTAGTGACTAAGGGCCTTTTGATTTAATGTCCCTGCTTGGTGACCTTTAGATTTAGGTCAAGATCAAAGATAAATTTGGCGTTCTAGATTTTGACCTTGCTATAAATTTATATTGATACATTATAAAGCCACGGGGTCTTTTTCATTAGATTTGTAGACATATGACCTTGAAAAGGTCAGCCGGAGGTGACATTATGGAAAACGGAAGAAACCATTTGCTGTACTGGTTTCAATTAAAAGTACATAGAACCATATATTTTTGGAAAATAACCTACAAGATGATACCGGAAGGGAAATTTTGTAAACCGGACGTAGAAACTAATATCCCTTATTTCAAGTAAAAGTGTATACATGTATATATATATATACTTTTTCACTTTTTTGGTCTTTTGGAAAATGTTGTTTGTGCTGTATTTAGACCCCTCTAACAAGAAATTTGTTTTACATGCACACGTATAAAAATTGCGGTTTTTATCCAACGCAATCATAGGTTTGAACGTTGTTTTCAATTAAGACCTGTTTATATTTTTTCGTTTGGGCTTGTATTATATTTGCCTTCGGGTTTATATGATCCGTTCATCCTATTTTGAGTCCTCAAAATTCAAGAGTCTATCCTAAATTGAGGTAAATTGTATGGCTTTCCAAATACCGTTTCGATTCCTAACATCACTGAAGAGACATTAATTGTCGAAATCCGGATATGGTGTACAAAAACTTTTGCACCTTTTTTTTTGCGGTATATCATCTTTTCCGCAAGTTTATTGTTTTCTGGTTAGTATTAAATTTATAATTAAGATCCATTTATTACATCGGTAATCCGTTTATTTGGCAATCGCCAATGGCAGTCAGCAGGGTTTAAGAACATTTGTTGTTCGACCTGTTAGTCAAATGCGTTTTGTTAGAATATACTTTTTCACTTTTTTGGACTTTTGGAAAATGTTGTGTGCTGTATTTAGACCCCTCTAACAAGAAATTTGTTTTGCATGCACACGTATAAAAATTGCGGTATTTATCCAACGCAATCATAGGTTTGAACGTTGTTTTCAATTTAGACTTGTTTATATTTTTTCGTTTGGGCTTGTATTATATTTGCCTTCGGGTTTATATGATCCGTTCATCCTATTTTGACTCCTCAAAATTCAAGAGTCTATCCTAAATTGAGGTAAATTGTATGGCTTTCCAAATACCGTTTCGATTCCTAACATCACTTAAGAGACATTAATTGTCGAAATCCGGATATGGTGTACAAAAACCTTTGCACCTTTTGTTTGCGGTATATCATCTTTTCCGCAAGTTTATTGTTTTCTGTTTAGTATTAAATTTATAATTACGATCCATTTATTACATCGGTGATCCGTTTATTTGGCAATCGCCAATGGCAGTCAGCAGGGTTTAAGAACATTTGTTGTTCGACCTGTTAGTCAAATGCGTTTTGCTAGAATATACTTTTTCACTTTTTTGGTCTTTTGGAAAATGTTGTTTGTGCTGTATTTAGACCCCTCTAACAACAAATTTGTTTTGCATGCACACGTATAAAAATTGCGGTTTTTATCCAACGCAATCATAGGTTTGAACGTTATTTCAATTTAGACTTGTTTATATTTTTTCGTTTGGGCTTGTATTATATTTGCCTTCGGGTTTATATGATCCGTTCATCCTATTTTGACTCCTCAAAATTCAAGAGTCTATCCTAAATTGAGGTAAATTGTATGGCTTTCCAAATACCGTTTCGATTCCTAACATCACTTAAGAGACATTAATTGTCGAAATCCGGAAATGGTGTACAAAAACTTTTGCACCTTTTTTTTTGCGGTATATCATCTTTTCCGCAAGTTTATTGTTTTCTGGTTAGTATTAAATTTATAATTAAGATCCATTTATTACATCGGTGATCCGTTTATTTGGCAATCGCCAATGGCAGTCAGCAGGGTTTAAGAACATTTGTTGTTCGACCTGTTAGTCAAATGCGTTTTGTTAGAATATACTTTTTCACTTTTTTGGACTTTTGGAAAATGTTGTGTGCTGTATTTAGACCCCTCTAACAAGAAATTTGTTTTGCATGCACACGTATAAAAATTGCGGATTTTATCCAACGCAATCATAGGTTTGAACGTTGTTTTCAATTTAGACTTGTTTATATTTTTTCGTTTGGGCTTGTATTATATTTGCCTTCGGGTTTATATGATCCGTTCATCCTATTTTGACTCCTCAAAATTCAAGAGTCTATCCTAAATTGAGGTAAATTGTATGGCTTTCCAAATACCGTTTCGATTCCTAACATCACTGAAGAGACATTAATTGTCGAAATCCGGATATGGTGTACAAAAACTTTTGCACCTTTTTTTTTGCGGTATATCATCTTTTCCGCAAGTTTATTGTTTTCTGTTTAGTATTAAATTTATAATTAAGATCCATTTATTACATCGGTGTTCCGTTTATTTGTCAATCGCCAATGGCAGTCAGCAGGGTTTAAGAACATTTGTTGTTCGACCTGTTAGTCAAATGCGTTTTGTTAGAATATACTTTTTCACTTTTTTGGACTTTTGGAAAATGTTGTTTGTGCTGTATTTAGACCCCTCTAACAAGAAATTTGTTTTGCATGCACACGTATAAATATTGCGGTTTTTATCCAACGCAATCATAGGTTTGAACGTTGTTTTCAATTTAGAATTGTTTATATTTTTTCGTTTGGGCTTGTATTATATTTGCCTTCGGGTTTATATGATCCGTTCATCCTATTTTGACTCCTCAAAATGCAAGAGTCTATCCTAAATTGAGGTAAATTGTATGACTTTCCAAATACCGTTTCGATTCCTAACATCACTTAAGAGACATTAATTGTCGAAATCCGGATATGGTGTACAAAAACCTTTGCACCTTTTGTTTGCGGTATATCATCTTTTCCGCAAGTTTATTGTTTTCTGTTTAGTATTAAATTTATAATTACGATCCATTTATTACATCGGTGTTCCGTTTATTTGTCAATCGCCAATGGCAGTCAGCAGGGTTTAAGAACATTTGTTGTTCGACCTGTTAGTCAAATGCGTTTTGTTAGAATACACTTTTTCACTTTTTTGGTCTTCTGGAAAATGTTGTTTCTGCTGTATTTAGACCCCTCTAACAAGAAATTTGTTATGCATGCACACGTATAAAAATTGCGGTTTTTATCCAACGCAATCATAGGTTTGAACGTTGTTTTCAATTTAGACTTGTTTATATATATATATATTTTTGGAATAAGCGTAAAGTTGGCTATTAGTTGATACCGGAAGTGACTTTAATTTGACTGAAATTTGTTTATTGTCTTGCTTAATTAAAAAAAAAACACAAATTAAAAAAAAAAGATTTCTTATCTTAAGTGAATTTGGATGGAAAGACCTCCCATTGTTCTCGGAACAATTGGTTTTTAATTAATATTTGAGTATGTTACAGCAAATCTCTTCACTCTGTATCTAGATACTCATAATATTAAGAAATGAACTAAAACTCGTAAGATAGAAACATAGATTAATTTCAAATGCAATAAAAATGCATTAAGTAAAATCGAAATTTTATATATGTTTCAGAAAGTATATACATGTATATTTCTACTTAATACTTTATTGAAAATATCTGATTTGACAAATATTTAGATCTCCCGTAAACAAAATTCAACTTTTTTTTAACCAATTAAACTTTATCGAATCAATAACTCAACAACAGCTGAATTCAATGTTATGCAATTAAATAAAACTGTATAATTTCAATAGATTATACATACATAGTAATTTAAAAATGTTACCTAATAATGTTTTTTTCTATTAAAAGAACCTTCTAAAATTAATAAGAATTACCTGGTCAATACGAAAAATCCCTCAACAACTACTAGTTTATATTGTTCCCCTGGAATCGCATGATGACAACTGACGAATACTTTAAAATGGACGTGTTTGTTGATCACTTGTTTTGCTTCGTTTTACCAATGAAATGTCGTGTTTGGTACATTTCGAAATATTCAATTTACAAACCAGGATATTAATTTTTTTTTTCTTGAAAAAAGATTATGATGTTCATTTGATATCAACTCCCAGACCAGTTGTTTCCATTTGACTAGTAATTATTCCTTTGAAAGTGATGGCATTTATTATTTATAATAATTTACCATAGAGGATAAATCCAATTCGTAAATTATGGGGCTAGGTTCGATAATTATTAATCAATACATCCTACTTCTATTTTTAAATAGAAGAAATCGACATCTTATTTTCAATAACAAACAATTTAACACATTTCATAAAAACAAGACAGATATCATATACCTGGGAACATCAGTTTCGTTGGTCGCTGTATTCATGTTTGTTTTTCGTTTTCGTTTACTGATTTGTAAATTTATCAGATCGTTGCTTATTTCTTTTAACCTGATTTTACATTTCGTCCTTTTATAGCTAACTATACGTTAAGGTTTTGCACATAGTTAAAGTCCGTTCAGTGACCTATATATAGTTACTTACTTATATAGCATTTGATCTCCGGTTGATAGTTGTTTCTCTGTCGAAATCATACCACATCTTTTTATTTCTCTATAGTGTAGTAAATATAGCTACAGCAGTTGATAAGGTGAGTGACTACACCAGGAAGATGCATTCTTCAACTTCTCAATAACAAGATGAAAGAAGTAATGCCACGTCACGAGAACGAGATAGATAAGTAATGCCACATAACAAGAGCAATAGAAGTTATGTCAGGCCACAAGAATATGGTGTGAGAAGTTATGTCACATCATAAAAGCAAGATGAGAGAAGTAATGTTACGTCACAAGAGCAAGAGCAAGATAAGAGAAGTAATGTCACATAACAAGAGAAAGAGAAGTAATGTCACGCCACAAGAGCATGTTGAGAGAAGTATTGTCATATCACAAGAGCATGATGAGAGAATTAATTTTACACAAGAGCAAGATAAGGGAAATAATGTCACTTCACAAGAATGAATTAAGAGAAGTAATGTCACATCACAACGGCAAGATAAGAACAATAATGTCACATCACAGAAGCAAGATGAGAGAAGCAATGTCACGTCACAAGAGCAAAATCAGAGACGTAATGTCACATATTAAAAGCAAGATAAGAGAAGTAATGTCGCATCATAAGAGTAAGATGAGAGTATTTATGTCACACCATACAAGCAAGATCAGAGAAGTAATGTCACATCATAAGAGTAAGATGAGAGTAGTGATGTCACACCATACGAGCACGATAAGAGAAGTAATGTCACATCATAAGAGTAAGATAAGAGAAGTAATGTCACACCATACGAGCAAGATCAGAGAAGTAATGTCTCATCCTAGGAGTAAGATGAGAGTAGTTATGTCACATCATACGAGCAAGATAAGAGAAGTAATGTCACATCATAAGAGGAAAATGCGAGACATCGTCAGAGTAAGATGGGAGAAGTAATGTCACAACATAAGAACAAGATGAGATAAGTAATCATGGTAATGTCACATCATAAGATAAAAAATAAGAGAAGTAATGCCACATCACAAAAGCAAGTTCAGAGAAGTAATGTCACTTCACAAGATCAGGATGAAAGACGTAATGCCAGATCAAAAAAGCTAGATGAACAAAGTAATGTCACATCATAAGAGGAAGATGAGAGACATCGTAAGAGTAAGATGAGAGAAGTAATGTCAAATCATAAGAACAAGATGAGAGAAGTAATGTTACATCACAAGATAAAAAAAAGAGAAGTAATGTCACATCACAAAAGCAAGACCAGAGAAGTAATATCACTTCAAAAGATCAGGATGAAAGAGTAATGCCAGATCACAAAAACTAGATGAAAAAAGTAATGTCACATCACTAGATCAAGGTCAGAGAAGTAATGTCACATCATAAGAGTAAGATGAGAGTAGTTATGTCACACCATACCCATACGAGCAAGATAAGAGAAGTAATTTCACCTCATAAGAGTAAGATGAGAGAAGTAATGTCACACCATAAAAGCAATTTCAGAGAAGTAATGTCTCATCATAAGAGTAAGATGAAAGACATCATAAGAGTAAGATGAAAGTAGTAATGTCACATCACTAGATAAAAATACGAGCAGTAATATCACATCACAAAAGCATGATGACAGAAGCAATGTCACGTCACAAGAGCAAAATCAGAGACGTAATGTCTCATCATAAAAGCAAGATAAGAGAAGTAATATCGCATCATAAGAGTAAGATGAGAGTAGTTATGTCACACCATAAGAGCTAGATCAGAGAAGTAATGTCTCATCATAGGAGTAAGATTAGAGTAGTTATGTCACACCAAACGAGCAAGATAAAAGAAGTAATGTCACAACATAAGAGTAAGATGAGAGTAGTTATGTCACACCATACGAGCACAAGTCACATCATACGAGCAAGATAAGAGAAGCAATGTCACATCATAAGAGTAAGATAAGATAAGTAATGTCACAACATACGAGCAAGATCAGAGGAGTAATGTCTCATCATAAGAGTAAGATGGGAGAAATAATGTAACACCATAAGAGCAAGTTCAGAGAAGTAATGTTTCATCATAAGAGTAAGATCAAAGAAGTAATGTCACATCATAAGAGTAAGATGAGAGTAGTAATTTCACGTCACAAGATAGAAATAAGAGCAGTAATGTCACATCACAATAGCTGGATCAGAGAAGTTATGGCACTTCACAAGATCAGGAAGAAAGAAGTTATGTCGCATTAATAAGATGATAGTAGTAATGTCACACCACAAGATAAAAATAAGAGCAATAATATCACATCACAAAAGCATGATGAGAGAAGCAATGTCACGTCACAAGAGCAAAATCAGAGACGCAATGTCTCATTATAAAAGCAAGATAAGAGAAGTAATATCGCATCATAAGAGTAAGATGAGAGTAGTTATGTCACACCATACGAGCAAGATAAGAGAAGTAATGTCACATCATAAGAGTAAAATGAGAGAAGTAATGTGACTTCACAAGATCAGGAAGAAAGAAGTAATGTCACATCACAAGTGCAAGATCAGAGAAGTAATGTCACATAATAAGAGTAAGATGAGAGTAGTGATGTCACACCGTATGAGCAAAATAAGAGAGTAATGTCACATCATAAGGGTAAGATGGGAGAAGAAATGTAACACCGTAAGAGCAAGTTCAGAGAAGTAATGTTATATCATAATAGTAAGATCAAAGAAGTTATGTCACATCATAAGAGTAAGATGAGAGTAGTAATGTCACGTCACAAGATAGAAATAAGAGCAGTAATGTCACATCACAAAAGCTTGATCAGAGAAGTAATGGCACTTCACAAGATCAGGAAGAAAGAAGTAATGTCGCATCATAAGAGTAATATGATAGTAGTAATGTCACACCACAAGATAAAAATAAGAGCAGTAATATCACATCACAAAAGCATGATGAGAGAAGCAATGTCACGTCACGAGAGCAAAATCAGAGACGTAATGTCTCATCATAAAAGGAAGATAAGAGAAGTAATGTCGCATCATAAGAGTAAGATGAGAGTAGTTATGTCACACCATAAGAGCAAGATCAGAGAAGTAATGTCTCATCATAGGAGTAAGATTAGAGTAGTTATGTCACACCAAACGAGCAAGATAAAAGAAGTAATGTCACATCATAAGAGTAAGATGAGAGTAGTTATGTCACACCATACGAGCACATGTCACATCATACGAGCAAGATAAGAGAAGTAATGTCACATCATAAGAGTAAGATAAGAGAAGTAATGTCACACCATACGAGCAAGATCAGAGAAGTAATGTCTTATCATAGGAGTAAGATGAGATCAGTTGTGTAACACCATACAAGCAAGATAAGAAAAGTAATGTCACATCATAAGAGGAAGATGAGACAAGTAATGTTGCGTCATCAGAACAAGATGAGAGAAGTAATGTTACATCACAAGATAAAAATAAGAGAAGTAATGTCACATCACAAAAGCAAGATCAGAGAAGTAATGTCACTTCAAAAGATCAGGATGAAAGAAGTAATGCCAGATCACAAAAGCTAGATAAAAGGAGGAATGTCACATCACAAGAGCAAGATCAGAGAAGTAATGTCACATCATAAGAGTAAGATGAGAGTAGTTATGTCACACCATACGAGCAAGATAAGAGAAGTAATGTCACATCATAAGAGTAAAATGAGAGAAGTAATGTGACTTCACAAGATCAGGAAGAAAGAAGTAATGTCACATCACAAGTGCAAGATCAGAGAAGTAATGTCACATAATAAGAGTAAGATGAGAGTAGTGATGTCACACCATATGAGCAAAATAAGAGAGCAATGTCACATCATAAGGGTAAGATGGGAGAAGTAATGTAACACCATAAGAGCAAGTTCAGAGAAGTAATGTTTCATCATAAGAGTAAGATCAAAGAAGTAATGTCACATCGTAAGAGTAAGATGAGAGTAATAATGTCACTTTTATTTGTTTATTTGGCAATCGCCAATGGCAGTCAGCAGGGTTTAAGAACATTTGTTGTTCGACCTGTTGGTCAAATGCGTTTTGTTAGAATATACTTTTTCACTTTTTTGGTCTTTTGGAAAATGTTGTTTGTGCTGTATTTAGACCCCTCTAACAAGAAATTTGTTTTGAATGCACATGTATAAAAATTGCGGTTTTTATCCAACGCAATCATAGGTTTGAACGTTGTTTTCAATTATGACTTGTTTATATTTTTTCGTTTGGGCTTGTATTATATTTGCCTTCGGGTTTATATGATCCGTTCATCCTATTTTGACTCCTCAAAATTCAAGAGTCTATCCTAAATTGAGGTAAATTGTATGGCTTTCCAAATACCGTTTCGATTCCTAACATCACTGAAGAGACATTAATTGTCGAAATCCGGATGTACAAAAACCTTTGCACCTTTTGTTTGCGGTATATCATCTTTTCCGCAAGTTTATTGTTTTCTGTTTAGTATTA